CGATAAGCTCGTGAATCTGAAGACCAAAGGTGAGCTCCAAGGATTTGCAAAGTTCTTGCCTTACAAAAACCAACCTTACTCAATAGATCGATATACCGACCAACCACCCTTGCACCTGCTTTCGCCCTGTACCCGCCCAAGCCACATGTTTAAGGATCGCTAACGAAGTTGACAAGCTGATCGAAAACGCAACCTACACGTCCCTTGGCGATCAGCAACCTAGGGCTGACTCTCAATGCCCATAGTTTTTTTAAGGGTGTGCCTTTACAGTACAGCTGTGCTGCACTCACAAGGTGTTCCATATTGCAAGTGCCCAGGTGTTCTGCGGGATTAGCGTTGGAAGTGAAAGTCAGGCCCACTCGTTGCTTTGAGCTCCACACCCTTTCGATCTGCCCAGTGTCCATTCTCCTGCGACAGGGCCGCAAAGGTTTCTTGGACTAAGAAGGTGACTCAGAAGCCGAAGCGCAAGCTTGACAATAAGGGAGAGGGAACTGCAGCAACTGCCGAGGCATATCATTAGGGTGGGTGGCGGTTTGTCACCCATGCATACATTGCGATGGAACCCAAATGGTTTTGCCTATGGCCTGTGTTCTAGGATATCTTTTTGACCATCTCTGCAGGAGGCCTCTGGGAAATTGAGGAGGAAGAAAGTCAAGACGAGCTGAAGTGAGCGGAGAATGGTCAATGATGGGGTGATGTGTCCATCACATGTGAAGCACGTGTGTCTGACACAATTCCGGGTTTTGCTAATTGTAGGCCATCCCTGCACAACAAGAGCAGGGCTAGGGCTTTACAGTTAAGATGTGTTTGAACTAATTTTGGATTGGGCCCAATGCAACGTGAACAAACACTAAAGTAAAGCACGTGTCATGTGTCATGTCATGTGTCAAGCCTAGTAGACCGTGCCTTTTTGAGGGAAGCTCTTGGGCCGATCTATTTGCTGTGTGACCTGCACACATCACCTGGGAAATATGTGAAAAAGATTAAAAAGATGAAGAAGGGGATGGGGTCAAAGCCAACACAGTTCATCATGGATTGTCTGGGCACATGCGCTGGCCAGGTCCTGGTCGGACATTGAAGCAACTGGCCCGGAACATCGCCGACGGCGCTGGGACCTCAGAGCGGTGAATCGCTCTGCTGCTGTTGGGGCTACTAATACCTTCAAGCTGCAGCAGGGTGGCTCGTACAAACATCGACTGTAGCACAGCAAGGTTGACTGTAGCCCCCAAATCTTTACCTCAGTTGTCTAGCTACGTGATAATCTCAACAGAATTTGTTCTACAGTTTACTCTCATCCTTTGTCCTATCATCCCAGCCATGGCCCTTCCTGATTCCGATGAAGAATGGCTGAGAGAGCTCATGGACAGCAACCACGACTCCAAAAGCAACGTGGGTGTGACTAGACCTAGTTTATTTGCTTGACCATTGTTTGACGACCATGTCTTCCCAAGCCACACCTGAACTGAGTCTCCGCGGCTTGTTGGAGGCAGCCCTGCTGGCCTCAGCCCACAATGGGAAGACTTTGTGTCAGAACAATTGAGGAGCTTGCCACGGTTAGCTGAATGCTTGCAAAGCATGGAGAGTCAAGAGAGCATAGTTTGCCGGTTTCCAAACAAGAAGTGTACTGCTGGTGCTGCGCTGAAACATGTTACTCAGCAAGTTTCCTCGCTCTTGAGGAAGGAGTACCCATGTGTCTTTAAGATAGGTTATACTCACGACTTGACTTGGAGATGGGGAAACAATATCTATGGCTACAAAAATGACAGGGACAAGTACGAGACTATGGTTGGTCTCTATATATCAGAGCATGCAATTGGAGCTGCTCTCATGGAAGCCTTTATGATCAACCATCATCAGGGTTTCTCTGCTATATAGTTGAGATACGTCTGTGAAATCTTCAATGATTGAGGGGCTTGGATTTCCTTCTAGCGTCTTCTGAGGTTCACCTGGATGCCGAAATGTCCGTAGCGGCGGCGATTCAGTGTGTTCGGCGAAAACTGATGGCCCGTTTTTTACTTACCTCGTGTACAGACCGCTGAAGAATCCGCCCCCAGTGAGCAGCGCTTGACACTCCCTTTGCGGTTTCCATCAGTCTGCCCAACCAATAAAATAAAGGCAAATTTGTTTTGGCACTCTGCTCACGTCTCCTTCCAAGGTTCCAGCGATGCTGATGTAGAAGTGCTTGTCAAACCATCGCTTCCACCTCACCCCCACAGACAGGAACCTCCATGAAAGGTGTGCATGTGTGTGACAACATGTCTTGTGTTGAGTAAGGAAGCTCAAGGTTGCCTCAAGCACATCTTTTTTAGGGGTAACGCTGCATGAACGCAGCTGGGGTATGAAAGGTGGATGAGTATGATCAACATTTGTCCGCGCTTTCCTGTCAAAATGACAACAGGTGCAGGTGTCACATCCACAATTTACTTTGTTGAGAAAAAGTCGCCTGACAATGAGTGCTCGTGAGATCCGTTGGGTTGTACATGTGCGCGCATGGCACACTATCTTCTCATCTTGTGTTTTTGTGTGTGTGGTCAAGCCACACTATCCTCTCATCTTGTGTTTTTTGTGTGCCGCCGAGGCCTCATGCTTGAGCACCATTCGAACGGCAAAGGCTGTGGCGGGCGAGGCTGGTGTGGCCGTGTCTAGAGGCCTCCATCAGTTAGCGGAGAGAGCGGAGCGGAAATCGGAAACTGGAGTCCACAAGATCTTTGCTGATTTTGGATTAGCACTAGATGTGCCCATCACCAAAGCCTGTGCAAACTACGATGTAGATTGCATTCTGCTTACTGATTGGGTTCGGGTACTTCTGAAACTTTGGCTTTGACGAGTAGTTGCCTGTACTTTTTTTGCTTTGTTTGGTGCACGAGCCACAAAAGGCCAAGGGACCGCCGGGATCGTGTCGGCTCGTGCAAGGAAGACTGGCAACTGGCCTCGTTTTGCTGGAGCAGAGACTTATGTGGAGGCTGAAGGTGAGCTGCAATTGTTTTGGGATCGCTTCCGCTCAAGCTTTGGGGACCACGGTGTGTTCCAAGCTGACGTAGAGCTGAAACGATGCTTGCCCTTACTTCTGCACGGGGACGAAGGTCGTGGAAAGAAGAGACAAGGAGTGTTGATCCTCGACGTTCATAGCATCCTTGGTGCAGGTGTCGCGACAAAGAGAAAAAGAAACCGCCAAAGAGAGGCCCGTGTTCAGTCCATGAACTACAAAGGCCATCCTTTGTGCACCCGACTTCTCCTTGGAATACTGCCCAAAGAGTTTTACGAGGCCGACAACGAGTGCTACTTTTCTTTGGTGGAGCGCCTGTGCGAAGACTTCAGCGAGATGATCACTGATGGCGTGCTGGGCGAAGATGGCAAGCGCTACACTGCTGCAGTTTTGTTTTGCAAAGGTGACCTCCCATTTCTTCACAAAGTGGGCAGACTGTGGAGGAGTTTCTACAACGCTCCGAAGAGAGAATCTTCTGCCAGGGACTGTACCGGCGTCTGTCATTTATGCGACGCAGGAGTTGCAGGGGTTCCCTATGAAGATCTGTCGATGGAGGGCGGGTGGACGCTCACTTTCGGAACGACTACCCCATGGACGACATATCCAGAATTGCTTCAACACTGTCATCACATCCGGAATTTTCCGGCAACATTCTTTGCATTTGACCCTTTTCACTGCTTTCATCTTGGCGAGGGCAGGAACCTGATCGCAAACTGCATGAAGATGATCTTGCCAATAGCTCCAGGTGGCAACATTGACGCGAAGCTTGACTCTTTATTTGCTGACTACAAGTCATATTGTCGAATGAACAAGTGTCAAGCCTACGCATCTCGTTTCAATGGCCAACTCTTTAGAATCGTTGGCAACGAATTTCCGACTGGCAGCTGGACGAAAGGTAACTTTACAACGTCCCTCGTGAAATGGATGGATCACTATCTGAACTCTAGGGTGAACTCGTTTCAACCTGACTCTTTGCTGGCCAAGGCTGCTGCAAGGATGAGCATTACCGTAACTTTTTGTTTGATTTGATTGCGTGTGTGTGTGTGTGTGTTTGTTAGGGTGATGTCTTCTTGCAGCTTGCGTGGTTGGTCCAAGGCCGAAGCGGTGAAGGTGATCAATGGAGTTTTTTCAAAGCTGTTCCTTGCACCGCTGTGGATTCCGAGCGCAGAGGGTAGGCAACTAGCGTGTGAGTGGGAGCGCTACCTATGTTTGCAACAATCCCTCGCTGTACAGGCATCCTCAGAGGGTCAACTTTTGTTTCTGTGCAATTGCAAGAGCCATTACTTGGCACATATTGTCAAGGACATGCATTGGGCATGCGACACATCTCCATACATTCTCAACCCAATGGCCTTCGGAACTCAAATGGAAGAGGACACAGTGGGCCGCGTGTGCCGACTCGTCCGTCGTTGCTGTCCAAAAACAGCAATACGAAGAAGTTTTCAAAGATACTTAGTGAGTGTGCACGCTGCTTGGACAGCGGAAGGAATGCTTCTTGAGATTGACACCTGAGCTCCCGGCTGTTCAAAAAAAGAACAATTGAGAGCCCGCCCGGAGCCAAGATTGCAACATGCAGGGTGGAATCAGGGGTTCCTTGATTTTTCAAGGTTTCGAGTTCAATGGGTAGTTATATAGATATATATAACAAATCTACTTCACCCCGCTCAAAACAACCCCTGCCCACTTCTGGCCAGCGTCTGTGGCGCAGGACAGCTCGCGTTGATGCGACAATGGGAAATCACATCCCGGCTGCCTTGGATGCGCGATGTCCTCAAACATAACCATCATTTGCCAACGGCAATACTGGTGACAGACCCTCATCACCATTCATGGTAATGATTGCGGAAGGGCTTGGGGAGTTCTTTCACTCCACCTCTTCCGGACTCATCTCTGAAGGGTTCCGTTCTCATCAGAGACGATTCTTTTCTCAATGAATTCCCGAATTCCCTTCGGTCCTCTCAAGGGTTTCGCCCCAATTAAACGACCCTTTGTTTTCAACACAACTCCGTTCTCATCATCTCTGACTCTTCACCACGCGGCTGCCGGCCACGTTCTCTGCGCGCACACGGAACTCGTAGTCCAAGTCGGGGATCAAGTCGTGGAACTCGTGCTCCGTGACCTCCGGCTTCAGTACAATGGTCTCCTCCGTCGCCTCAGTTGATGTCCATCAACCAACGAGTCGAGGCGGTAGCGTTGTTCGATGCCTTTCGTCGTCGATTTGTTTGGGCGTTCGTGAGAACGAAGGCCTTTTGGGAGAAAACGGGCGCTGGCCTTGCACAAGCATGCACAAGCATGTTGGCCCCCCTCAGACCGGCGGCGTGCGCCGGTGTGTCACAGTAAGGGGCCGTTCATCACAGGGTTTCGCTTCTTGGAATGGGGTTTGCCGGCATCACGGCGCTCACTTCAGGTTGATGGGCAAGAAAGGACATGGGCTTCAGCGGCTTCACTACATGGAAAAGTGATGAAAGCAGGCCGGAGTCGCTGAGGTCTTGATCAGCACCCTGACTTGGTCTGCCAGACTTTCTTTGGGCAGGTCCTCAGGCGCTGCAGCGTGTTGTTACTGCTTCTTGTTACTAGTAGCGATGGCCTCCACCTAGTAGCTTGATGTGCTACTAAGCAAGAAATCGGCTGCACTCAAATTCCAAAGGCCCGAGGGAGAAAGGCAACAAGCCTGCGAGAGCCTTTTCTTTCATGGCTGATGGCCAATCAGTGGGGCCTCATCCAGTGCACACTCTTCACTTGGCAATGGTTGACCCCCAAAATAAACAATATGCGCCATACACCACAAACGCCAACATACCAGGGCTTTCAAGGGCCTATTGTTGATCCGAATCCATTCCCATGCATGAAAGAAAACCTATGACACCTACGAAGCATCTCCCTTTGCACCCACACATGGGGTACAAACCTGCAGCTGATGTCAGCGCACGCAAACAGCTACAAAACCTCAAACATCTCGACACATCACGCGGCCAGTTTAGATCTTTTACGTTTTTCGTTTCTTGTCCATGGTTTTTCATTGCTTTTCAGCCTTCCTCTCCGCCAGGCATCGATCAAATCCAATGCGTTCCATCGCAAGGTCACATTCTGCCCCTCGCAGCGGAGCTGTAAGGACTCCAGGGGCGGCGGCGGAGTCTGGTTCCAAACCTGGAGCACCGACTTCGGCTTCGGGACGTGGCAGGTGTGGTGACTTCTGAGATTTTTGTTGGAATAATTGTTGGAAGGATCGCAACAGTCCAATGAACGGGTTTCTGGCAAGATTGGATTTGAATCATGTTGTCATATATAATATAAAAGTGTGTATATAAAGTAATTTAATTGAATTGGAAGCTCACTTCTTCACCCAACGGTGGTCTGTTCCCCCATCGAGCCCACAGCCTGTGGGATCCGCACAGCCGCCCAAATTCCAAGACCCTGGACTTGATGGATGGTCCCAACCCAAGTTCGGAGTCTGCTTTGGGGGTTCCCGCAGATCGATAGAAAGGGTAATTCATAAATATTCACAACGCAGTATATACATATGTATGTGTATGTACATGTGTATATATATATATATATATACACGCCTAGATCTTGGCAACGTTGGATGAACTTCACATGTTGTATATTATATATGTCACTACAGCGAGCGTCTCGTCCAAACCCACATGAACCGTGCGCGAGCCGCCGTCTCTCGAACCAAGCCACTGTGAGCCTCACCGGCTCTCCGATGCACCCGATGATGCGTTGCTTCGAGGAGCAAAACAACCGCAACTCAAAGACCTCAGGTGGCGGCCTTCGGAACCGAAGGCCTGGCCGGGGCCTTTAGCGTTTTGGACGCTTGGTGAGTGAGACAGAAGCACTCCCCCCGTCAGAAAGAGATGGTGGCGATCAAGCCTGCAGGGGTAAAGTCATATCATTGCGCAGGGTTCTGAAGACTGTTCAAACATCACTGCGCAGCAATTTTCAGGGCTTCTTTCGTATGAGCTGGAGATAATATGATCCTTGATGATCACTGTAAATCCACGCACCAAGACATCATGTGAAATTAAATTTGGACGGGACGCAATCTAAACCCATAAGCTCCTGAAATACCTCTCATCCACTACGAGTTGGGTGGCTGAAGGGAGCTTATTTGGAGAAGTTGTAAGCCTTTCGACCAATCAATCAGCACACACACACATAATCACACACATATATATATATATACACACCAAATCAGTGCACAAGAGAGACCCCCTACAAACACTTGCTGAGGGGAAGTCTTTATCAAAACCCAGTGGTTGGAGGGTCTCTCTGCTCGTCTGTTCAATTGCGAAAAAACGGTTTGTCGGTTTGTCACACTGTTAGTTTCGTCTCTCCCGAACTCCCAAACCCTGTTGAGCCAAGAGGTGCTCGAAAGGGAGCAAAGAGGTGCTCAAAAAGAGGGGAACACTTTCACTTTCACTGTTGATGCCTGGTGTTCAAAGAGGGGAACGCATTTAATAAATAAAAAACTTTCTTGAAGCAACTTCTCAGCTGGCTGAGCTCTTTGCTGCTTTCCCGGTGCCCCGGGTGGATCGCATGTACGAGGGCATCGACATCTCCACGTGGCCCAGCATCTGCGGTTGACCGTCTGAACACCTGGAAGTGTTTTGGCTGAAGTCCATGAGCGGAGCAGCAGTTTATGAGACCAAAAATTATGCACACGACTACCGTAGTACTAGCAAAATATACTGTAGCAACCTAAAGTAGCTATAGCAAAATTTATCTAGCCGCATGTATGGCGTATATATATATATATATGAACCAGTGCTCTGCTCCATTCAAATTAATCAAAGACAAATTCAACAAATTTTGGCTCACCTGGGCAGATCCGCGCGTAGGTTGGGATCCACGTTGTTGAAGGCCTGGTGTCCCAAGTAGAAGCCACCGCCTCCGGCGGCGCAGTAGGTCAAGCCCGGCGGCACCAGCGCAATGAAGGGCGTGTCCCCGAGCACCTTCCGGGGCACCGGCCACGGCACCGGCTCACGCTCGTCCTTCAGGACCGTGTGGCCCGGGCCGTAATAACCTCAGGTTTGCGATGGTTCGAATCGGCTCAGTGGAGGGCGCAGGGCGGAGGGCGTGGTCCATGTTAAGTCTAGCTTATAGATATGGAATGATGTGGACTGTAGGTAGGTGCATGTAGGTTCTGGCCCAACCAACTCGGGACAGAGATGAACACCAAAGCAACCTGTCACAAGAACGATCAAGCTGTCACCCAAAGTTTCTGCCAAAAACCAACAACAGTAACTGACGTGACGATTAGATACTATTACCCTAGGGATCTAGTCGTACCTCCTCAAAAGGTACTTGGCCCCTGGCACCTCCCCAAACAGCTTCTCAGAGGGTACGACTGGATCCTTAGGGTTAGACTATTAGTCGCTCAGAATCCCGGAATCTCTGTCCTTAACACCACTCCCAAGCCACTGCAAGCGCCTTGAAGCCGATATCTCACCACACAGGTCTGCCCGGCAACCAGGCCTTGTCCAAGCTAAAGGACAACATTGACAACATCGAGCGACAGCAACAACAAGCACTGCCGCAACACGAACTGACGAAAAAACATCGACTCAAAACCATTCCAGCCTCACTGATTAAATTCCTCAGGTTTTGTGGGGATGGATTCTTCTTTGCCAATTCTTTTCTCCACAACCTGTTCAACGCTCACGGCGAGGCACGGCAGGAGGCAGTGAAAATCACATCTCCAATGCTGGGGAACAAAGACTTGTGAACGCTGACCTCGGTGAACGCTCAGCGATGTGACTGGTCATAGCGATGCACGGAGCTTTTTCCCCAAACCTGAGATGATTTTATGTGGCTGATGGATGCTGATGGTGGAAACGCCACGCAACAACTCCGTGTGCCATTGGAACCACATGGTGGCCGCCCAAAACACGTCCAAAGGACCGTCATCAGCCAACTCTTGCCACTCTGAGGCTTCTCAGCCTTCACACTCTTTTTCACCAAATGGGAAAGCAGCATTCAGCAATCTTCAGCATGTCCTTGAGCTAAGGACAATTATCCCGGCAAGAGACCCCAAACAGTGTGTGTGTGTGTGAGGTCTGTAAGCAGAAAGTGTAGAGATCTAGACGCTGCTTTTCACCTACCGTAAGAACCCCTAGTGAGGCCCTAGTGTGTCCACACTGCTTGGGGAAAAAAAATTAACCTTTGAGCTGTTCACATGTTTCGAACATGTTTCGAAGGTGGGACTGGGGTGGGTGCCAGGACGGTGTACGACTGTACCTTTTGAGGCAACCGGATCCGGATCGAATGATCTCCACCCGACGGCCTCCACTCCCAAGGAGCCATCTGACCGCGGCGCAGCTCCCCACTGTGCACCGAGCGCCATTGGGCGATCTGATCCGCATAGGACCTCCACGCGCCGCCGGAGAAACCAACGGTGCATAGATAGACGGTGAGACGTCGTGGCGAAGCCAACGTCGGTGTGCAAGCAAAAAGGCAACAAACATGAATCTGAAGTTGCCGAAAAAAATGTATCTCAACTGCATAAATGTATGGAGCAGTCGGCAGTCCTTACTTTACAGTTGGGTTGGCCAATATTTCTTCCAGTGTTTCTGTGAAGGATGGTGGGTTCAATAGATTTGTTGATCATGGGATTGCACTGGCAACCAAACAACTTCAAGTCATCATAACACATGCACTCTCTGGGAGCTCCGAAACAACAAAAGAATAAAACACATCATCTCAACGATAATCCCTCCATCTTAACGTCACATGCATGCCCTCCGTCAAAGTATTGCTGATTGGGAAGTGGCAATGGGGTGGCAATGGGATTCACCTGTTCCTGTACAGCACCCATGTTCCTGTATGCCATGCGGCTGATATCTTGCAAAGCAGTGCTCGCGGAACTTGGACGCGTATTGTCCACTCACACTACCTGCATGAAGCTTGATGTTAGTCTGTCTGAGACTGGGGAGATCATCTGGTCCAGTTGCCATGAGAAATGAAGCAATGGTCCCAAAGCCTTGAAACCCATGATTAAGCACAATCAGCTCTATACATGTGCGGAAAGGTCCTCAATTCTTGGTCGCTGGTTTCTGGAGTTCTTGGACTTGGCCGAGTGGCCCACCAGACTGGTGCCATAGGTATCCCACAGATAGCCAAAGCGTCTGGCCAATTCCGCCGGATCAGGGACGTCACCCTGCACGAAGGCCTTGGTCAGGGCTCTCGGCGGCGGCACGACTGGTATCCGAAGCACAGGCAGACTCATCTAAGAGCTGCCCCTATCAGGTTCAGGATCAAAAGCCTTAAAGCCAAAGGATTATAAAAGCCTTTCTATTAAACTAACCCCCAAAAGGATAGAATCCAACAAGACAATAACTAACACAAATCACAGTGATCACAGTCATCAGTGACCCTTGTTTTATCACCTGGCTCAGAAAAAGGCGGCTTTCCTTTGCTCTTTCCAAGCAAGAGAGCTAGCAGCAGCTAGCACACTTGATGCCCATTCCATCCCTCACAGGCCTCTGCTGGCAGGATGGCATCCCTCTGCCGGCTTCTCTCCACTGTCAACCTGCTATCGACCAGAGTGGCTCGGCGAGGTTGTAGGACTGGTAGGCTGACGTGGACTGATTGAAGTATTTCATTCACTGCCTCGACTGGAGGCTTTAAGTCGGGTCGAATGTGTTTCTTTAAGAGGCCTTAGCATCTGGCCTGGCACCCTGCTCCCTTCTGTAGATGTCACCAAGCGACATTCGACAGGCCAAAGCATCGTAGAGGGCTGGGGCAAAATGCACCTCCACGCCCCAAAGCACATCTAGTGGTGGTTGACGTAGCAATTGGGATAAGCTCTCTGTGCCTGATGCGATGGCAGGAAGGTGGCTACCTTGCCAAAGATGTGGACGAGGAAAATTTGCGGGTGGAATATGCACTTGTGGAAGAACAATGCGCCACAGTCCACTACCATGATTCTCAGAGAGGTATTGTAGTCATAGTCTAGCTTAGCTATACCATGCTATACTCTCCAAACAGTTAACAATCCGGTAGTAGAACATGGGTCCACCTCAAATGGAAGGACGCAAGTTTGTGCAACTGCACCTCTAATCTAGGAGCATCTGGCCGGCGTTTCTACCTATGGCATGAGAAATGACAATCTACTAAGCTATACATTTGGGGCTGTTTCAAGGTCGAGGTGCGTGTGCATACATGCATGCATACACGGTAATTATATGCATCCGTGCATAACTACCGTAAGTATTTTTATATATTTTCTGTCTCTCTCTCTCTCTCCGCTTGATGATGCTGGTCCGGCCACTGGCCCTGAGCAATCCATTGTTGGTCTGGCGACCAGGACGCTGACCAAGGCGCTAATTTCTTTGCCCTTTGAGCCGCCCAGCGCCCGGAAGAGCCGCGCCACATCCTCTGGGGGTGGCGAAATCTTCTCCACGGTGCCTGGGCCCAAAGTCCCGGTCGAAAGGGAACTCGCGGAAAACACGTTCTGTGGGTTAGGGCCGGTGAGGATCGCCTTGAATAGACCTGTTCGGCCAAAATAGCCGCTGTTTGAGCTCCCCAGATGTGGCCCATGCGCCGAGAGACACAAGTGCTCGAAGAAGGCTGCAGGGTTGGCCAAGTTGCCACTGATGGCGCTACGGCCAAGGCCATGCTTCAGCTCTAGTTGGCTGCCCTCAGAGGAGGTTGAACAAGCTCTCATCGTGGAGCAATTCTAAAAACACATGCGTCTTGAATCTCCATGGCATTGACACATGGTCCATGTGTCTGGTAAGTAGGGAGCAATCATCAGCCATTCATAGCCCAACTCCAACGACTTGCCGATGAACTCATGTTCTCAACACTGGGGGATCAGGCCCATGGCCCCCCTTGAGAACCCGAAGCCAAGGGACAAGTTCCAACAGACTCGGTCGAGGAGGAGAGATCAGGCCCAGCTGCCTTTGGCACTCCTGCCGGCCAAAGCGACCAAAGTGGCCACAATCCTTGACTCAAAATGACCAAACTGCTAAACTGCTTTGGACATAACTGGCCTTGAAACTGGCCTGTGCCCCTTGAAACTGGCTCTCCCTGAGATTCCGATGGAGTCTGTTAGTCCTGGAGATCCACTTTCCCATCACCATCTTCATCCAAGGCTGCCAGCACCTGAGGTGCACATCCCCCCGGGATCGTCGTCGACCCAAAGCCACAGCTGTAACACACCGGGTTTGGTGCGGTCCTGTTCAAAGGTGGTGCATCACACGAGGGAGGTTCTGCCTGCCGCTTTGTCCCACAAAATCAAAAGGGAGTAAATGGGCATGCTTGGTGGGAAAACGTTTGGATGGGAGGCACCTCCTTGCTGCTTTTTCTCCGCTCGCGTGCTCTTGGACGTCCAAGCATCCAAACTTGGCATGTGAAGTTGTGTAAAAACCAACCCCTGGAGCACGAGAAACATCACTCAACTTGGTTCACCGTTGCCACTGCAAAGTAATCTATCTTGTGCAAAAAATTATGCAAACTATAACTGTAACAGGACATTCAAGGACTCTGGAAGCGTGTCCACAAAAAGCCGTGACAACCAATGATTCGGACTGTTCATAGGATTTCTCTGGCTGTCCATGATGCAACGCACATAATAAAAATGAAACATATATATATATATATATATACGTGACGCCCGGATCAGGCCAGTTCCCTGCCAACCAGCAGGATGTGTAATGATAAGCCTCTTTCCAGAATGAATTGATTGGTTTTTGAATTGCTTATTAATTCAATCATTTCAATCATTGTAAAGCAATAATCAAGAGCTGTCATAATCCTAAGGTCTGAGGTTTATTATTGCGAGCAGTGTATTCTTATCATTATTGCTATAAATTACGACGAACAATTTGTTTCCAGCCAAGCTTTCACTTGGGGGAGGGTTATTCGCTCAAGCGGAAAAAGCCCGCATTCGGCGTTGATACTGGGCACCAATAATATAAAGATATCAACCAGTCAAACATCCCTCCAACTATATATATATATACACAGTATATAACCTCATCTCTTGGGCTACTAGGCGGCTAGATGCTACTAGTATGATGCAAACAGCAGCCAAAATGGGAACATCGCAAAGCCAAAAGGCACAGTGGACAAAACCGGGGGAGGAAAACACTTCAGCTGGAGCATCTGTAACCAACATCAATCCATCCCCTGCTTGGGGGAACCCCTCTTCTAAGACAGCCCATATCTCGCCATATCTTGCCCATACAGAGATCTTCAACCCGGCCTGTCTCCTTCACCTTTGTGCCAAGTCGCATCCTCCACGGAGATGTCCCGGAGCCCTGGGCCCCCGCGAAAGAAGTGATAGATCCTCAGTGCTCCAATCTACGAAAGCATGTTCGGTCGACTACGGACCCTCACACCAATGGACCCATTTCATCATCGGGATCATTGGTCGAGACGTGTGGGCTTCCTTGAATGATTTCGGTGCTGGGATGGCAAAGAACACTCCTGAAATGGAGTCGGATACGCTTCAAGTGATGCCAAATGGTGCCACCCCTGGTTCCTTGCAATATCAAACAGGGGCTACAGAAATTGAACGGTTGCACTTCACTTGATCCGGGCAAATAGCATCAACTAGCATACAAAATGTTCAGTACGACCATTCAGTCCCAAAAACATACCACCACCACCACCACCACCACCACCACCACCACCACCACCACCAC